ACTCAGTAGATCTTAAAGCTTGTAATAGGTACCATCAGATCAAGCACGATTGTTTCATCTGGAGTTTGGAAAGCTAGCCTTAGAACCCTTAGTTATAACCAGGATTTTTCAGCCATCTTTCTGTGTTAGGAGAACTTGTTAATTGGATATTTGTAAGCCGAGCTGTGAATGATTTACTCTGTAATTTGATAAGACCATGTGAATAAACTATTTAAACATCCTTTCACGATAGTAAGAAGCCCATCATAACGAACTTAGTGTGCTCAGAATTTGCCCGGCATGGCTCTGGGAACAGGTGCAGATTGAAGTAGTTCTAGAATTGCCTTTCCTTTAGGTTACCTGTTCTAGTTCTAGTTCCATTATCATTTTGACTTCTTCATGCGGTATTGTCCTTATATGGGTATAAGACCCTACTTGCTAGCTGAGGCAACATATCGGAATGATACAATAGAATCCAAGATACCCTTTTCCAAATCCCTGTTATTGGTAAGTTTGCCATTTTTTGCTAATCACCGATGAAATAGACTATAGTTGAGCTTGAAGCTAGTTTAAAGAATGCTGGTTCCATCTAAAATAATTTAGTATGCGAAAATAATTCCATTTTTTCCTCTAGAAAGCTGGATTATCTCATCTCATAGATAATCCCCCACCCATGTACCTTATCTGCATTTCCTATGTTATTTGTTCCACCAAAAGCTTTTTATTTTTTGAACGTTTTTGTTTGCTATGCTACTTCATGGTTAGTAATTAACTGTCGAAGCTTTAATTGGCTCTATATATTGTTTGCCTTCCCATTTCTGACGTTCTGTTGTATTTTCCATTATAGGCCATCGGTCTGAAGTTTCACGTTCCTGAAGAATTCTTCGGTCCCTAGCCGTTCACTGTGAGCAGCTATGTTAGGTGGTGAATAAGATGGTTTACCAATTGCCGTAGGTCGGTGTCTCATGTTTGGAACCTAAGAATGCCACAGTTATTCTTACGTTGCAAGATCGCTGTTTAAACTTGCCGTAGACCTTTGCCGTAGTATCATGCCTGTTCGTCTAGGATCGACTTGAATCAATGTACTGGAGGCGGTGAACTGTTGGGATCTGAGTCAATGCCATACTGGGACTCGTCGATCACTGATTTCTATCGCCCAGTTGACTCATAATTGTCACCAGTGTCGAATGCGGGTTCACGTCCGCTTACCTCGTGTCCCAAAAGGCAAAAGACACCGTTTTTCTCTCCCTGGTGGCATCTAAAGTTAAGTAAGAGACGCTGGTCCTTTTCTCTAGTTCTCTAACCTTCACTAGCGGGAACAAAATGACAGGAAACAACCGTACGTCTGGAAGTCCTATAAATTCAAACCCCGAATTCTCAGAAACCCAAAGTCCAAGCTCTGAAACAATGCCGGAATATGTTCGTGCTGCTGTTCATCCAATACTTGTTCTCTGATTATTCACATGAGGGAAACAAATCCAAGAGAAGCCCCTGTGTTAAATTGACACGGTTATATACAGATTTGACACTGCAGCCCGTACACTGCAGAATGCACAGCCTGAGAATAATTAGGCTTAGCGCATCTCAAAATAAACTTCCACTTGCATTACTGCGGACAACCAATCATTCCTTGGGGATTAAGTCTGCAGTCTGCATAGTAGTACTACGTACTCCCTGACAATTGTCAACGTGCTTGTCTTTTTCTCTAGTTCATGATCTAGTTGGGGATTAAGTCTGCAGGAACGAGCAAAAATAGTCAAAGTGATGTGGACTATATGGTACTCCAGGAATCGCTGGGTTCATGATCAAGATCAACTAGATCCTGCCACTGCTATGAGAAGGATTAGAGGGGACTTGTGTCAGCACATGATGCAACGGGGGCCTTTCTTCAGTTAGGTGTAGCGAATCAGGCACGTCTTCTGTTAGTACTCCCTCTGTCCGAAAATACTTGTCATCAAAATGAATAATTATCCCTCTTTATCCATTTTGATGACAAGTATTTCTGGACGGAGGGAGTAGTTATTACTCCCTGGTTCCCATAATATAAGAGTGTTTTTTACCCTACATAAATGTCAAAAACGTTGTTATATTATGGGATAGAGGAAGTATTATTTACCGTTTACCTCTTGCCGCGCTGGCGGGTAACTCTCTTCCCTATAAGCAGAGCCGGGTTGTGGCGAAGCATCTCATTCAGTATTTCTCAATTATCAACTTTGGGCTAGAACCCTAAACACTATAGCTCCTCTTACAGTGATAATATACTCCAGATCTAGCGAGATCTCTTGATTTCTATCATATACTCGTGTAAACAAAGTTATAGATCCACTCGGGCCTGACAAATTGGTACTTAGAGCAAGGTTTTTCCTCGGTCAGAGAAGTAATCCCACCCAATTCCCTCCCTAGTGTGTTGATTCGATGACGACGGGGTGATCTACGTGTTGGAGGCGTCGGTGGCGGCGATCTGACAGTAGGCGGCGTGGGCGGCGGCGATCTGGTGTTTGTTGGCGCTGGTGGTGGCGATTTGTTCGGCTATAGGCTGGTAGGGCGGAGTGATTGCCGGAGAACACTTCTCAGGTAGTGAAGTCCCACATCCATCGCTGGTTTGTGTCGCAGAGCAGCACGGAGGTCGGCCGCGGCAAGATCTGAGTGAGAGGACGGGTTGCCAGGTCTCTGGTGGTAAAATTCCTTACCTCGTTAGATCAAGGAGATGGGAAGGACATCTAAGAGCATAGATGATGCTGATTGGCAGGACGTTCTGTCCATGAAAGAGGAATTTGGCATTCTGCAGCAAGACTCAATATTTCTGCATACTGATGTTTCCAAGCTTCAACAAGAGGTATCAGCCATCAGCCCCAAACAAACTGAAATATGTGAGCAAGTAGGAGGTGTACAACAGGAACTACGAGATCACCCCAAGGACGCCCTCGGTGTCCAGGGGTCACGGACCGACCATAGACCCTGTTCAATAAGTGGAACACATTAGCCGTCCACTCTCCGGTTGGGCAGTAAGGGTCGGAGAAGGGCAATCACTCGTTCTTAAAACCAACATTCTTTAGATAAGGAGTCAGACGGAAAAAGGGGAGAGCTCCCCTTTCCTGGTTCTCCTGTAACTGGATTCCCCGGAACCACAAGAATCCTTAAAATGGGATTCCAACTCAGCACCTTTTGTTTTGAGATTTTGAGAAGAGTTGCTCTTTGGAGAGCACAGTACGAAGCAATGCTACAATTGGGTAAACAAATGGCAGCCATGAATTTAGTTCTGAAATCTCTAGTACCCAAAGCAGTGAACAGGAATAAGGATGAAGCTGAAACTAGTGCAAGTCAAGTAGTAAAATCACCAACTCTAGCTCAGGCAGAATTGCAAAATCTGGAGCAAAGAAATGCAAATCTCAGAAACATTTGGAGGCAGAAAGAGAGCTGAACAGACAATTTGAAGAAGCTCAACTCCAAAATTTACCTCCTGTCAGAGTGCAGAAACGCAGTACTACAGAGAGAATTCTAGTGCAAGATTTAACTGTTGAAAGGAATACCCCTGTGGCACATCAGGCCAAGCCACACACACCTGCATTTCAATAGTTCCAAGCAAACAGAGAGAGGCAGTTGTGGCAAGGTTATTACAGAACCTATGAACAGGATATTCAGGCTCAATTTATGAAAGCAATGACAAAAGGACCTAAACTAGAATTTCCAAGTTTGATGGTGCTGACCTAGTTGGGTGGATAAGGCAATGTAACAAGTACTTTCAGATGTCAGCAACACCTGAAGAATACAAGATATCATTAGCACAAATGTACATGATAGGAGAAGCTGACACATGGTTGGGAAGCACTGGTGTAGAGACCTGCTATACAAACGGTTTTTAACCCCTTTTCGCGACGGCATTTGGAACTGTCGCCAAGTGAGTGTGGGCGATAGGGTGGGGGGTGGGGGGGGGTCCTTCCCACACGACCCAGAAATCGTCGGGGATAGGCCCTCCTAGAACACAGGCTGGGGCAAAATGAGCTCGTGTGCGATTTGGCGGGGCATCGAAACCCAATTGTTTTCGTTCGTATGTACATCCCACACGGTGAATCCCAGAAAAACATTTCCGTTCGTATGTATATCACACAATTTTTTGTGTGAAAACGTTTGTGCAAGGTGGGCTAACGCAAACAGTTCTCTGCCAGAAGCCGTGTGTGATTGTTAGTTGATCGAACACGCCTTACTTTTTAGAAACCGTGCTGGTTGTTTGAGTTCATCGCCCACGGTCCTGTCTGAGTAACCGTCTGCAATAGAAAACCCCAATAAGCAAGGTAATTAGCCTATTATTGATAATCCATGTACTAATCAAATTGATATTTCTTATAAAACACACTAGATATTTCATATCCATATAACAACAACCATGATTTCACAATCAAACTACATCAGAAAGATTCGGCATTCAGTTACACCATTACACAACAGCATCAAGTTTCACATGCAACATAAAAAATCTTTGGAAAGTAGCATCATACACGGTAAATAGACAGATGAATCTCATCTGGGAAACTGCAGAAGTGGAAAGCAAATATTGAGCCTTCAGTGATGTTGAATGTCCTTGCAACTTTAGGCCAGTGGCTATGGATAATTGCCCGCCCAACCTTCGTCCTCTTCAGCAAGACTTCAATATTGTACCGTGAGTGTTGAATGAATACCTTCCTCGCCTCTTGACCATGCAGGTGGTTTGAGAGGTAATCATCGGTGAACTGCTTTGGAAAGTATTAAAAAAAAGATATGCATAAATCGCTGTTATAAATTTTGAAATGGCGCAAGGGGTAAAAACAAGGTAAAAGAGTTAGTACCATCCTATAGTTGACTGATGTCTTATTCATTGTGCAAACAAAGATCTTGCTATTATTCGTGGCAAGTTTCTTCATCCTAACAATCTTTCTAAGTTTCTTGACTTGATTGATATTCATGGACATCTCATTTTCCCATATGCAAAATGGGCCGAACAGTGGGTCTAAGCCTCTGACAGCAAGACCTACACATGCAAGACCAAATTGTAAGAAACCTAAATATTAGAATGATTCCTGTAACTGCACAATAATGTGCTATTAGCGAAAGGATCATGCTTGAACAAACCTTGATGGTAAACCGCAGTGTCTCCCATTGTTTCCCTGCAACACACATAAGGAAGATCTTGATCAGGTTAACTGAGAGTTGCCATACTATCAATAGAATATGTATTGATTACATTCAAATTCGATTTATTTCACATGCATAAGAATACAAAATTGTACCCACAACAAATGAAAATCAAATTGTAGAACTCAACCAAACAGTTAAATGGACAGTAGACCAAATGAACCAAAATAGTTAACCGAGCGCGACATTGCAGAATAGAAACATGTACTAGAAGATAAGACAATTAACAAAACAAAGAATGCTTGAGAACAATACTACGAAATGTAGCAATTGTTGGACCAAACTGTTAACTGAACATTACATTTCAGAGGACCAAAGTGTTAACTGAACATTACATTTCAGAGGACCAAACTGTTAACTGAACATCAGATTGCATATTAACACTACGGAGGACAAATCACTAGAAGGGCACTGGCGGTGGCCTCGAGAAAACAACACGAACTGTATTTTAAAGTAGACAACCGCGTGGCGGTGTCGAGGGAGGCCTCAAAGACGAGGTGCTCCTCCAAGATCTGGCGGTCGGCAAGCATGGCAGCCATAGCGATCTCGTGCGCGCGTGCGACCGTGATTTGCTTCTCTGCTGCCAGATGCTACTGAGCTCCATGTTAAACTGCGTGCAAAATGGCTGTGGGCAGCGCTTAATTGGAGGAGGGGGACAGTGATTTTGGTGGAAGGTTTTGCGCCGTCGGTTGGGGCATGTGGGATGAGAAAGGAGGAGGATGGTGT